TTTGTTTTGGAAAGTCTAATTTCTGTTCCCACTCCTCCTGCCTCCTCGTTCCCCACCCAATTTAGACTATTCCTAACACTGTAATCAGCCTATTCAAGTACTTTTCTTGTTCACTGATAATTTTACAATCTTCGATAAAAAGCTCCTTTTAGTTTTAAATGCCTAGAAGGAAAGGGGACTATTTATTAGTCGAACTTACGATACACAAAAAAGGAACTCATGACTGCCTCTAACTAAGTCTATCACTTAGCAAAGCACCAACACTGTTGAGTGATTAATGAAATCATTAGGAAGGAGCTACTTCATGACCTGGCTTAATTAGATGTTAGCTACTACTGAAAAGGTTTTTTCAGTAATGCTGGTTAACAAAGTATTTTATGGAAATTAACTGGTCTAGCACAGTTATTTTCAACCAGTGTGCTGCAAGAATTTTAATTTATATATATATGAGAGGCCTGGTGCACGAAATATGTGCACTCAGGGTCCCTCAGTCCGGGCTTCTGGCTGAGCGGTGCATCCCCTGTGGGAGTGCGCTGACCAGGGGGCAGCTCCTGTGTTGAGCATCTGCACCCTGGTGGTCAGTGTGAGTATTAGCCTTTTATTATATAGGATTTCAAAATATATTTTTTATTTCAGAGAGGGAGAGAGAGATGGAAACATCAATGATGATGTTTCACTGCACGTCCTGATCCTGCAACTCAAGCATGTGCCCAGACTAGGAATTGAACCATGACCTTCTGGTTCATAGGTCGATGCTCAACTACTAGGACACACCAGCCAGACAAGAATTTTTAAAACATGTAATACCTGACTGTTTAGTCAGGGGTACTGACCTCTGTCCCTTAGGTTGTCAAATGAAAAAATGACAACAGTCAACACAATAGCTGTCCAGTGTGAATGAATCAAAATTATACTTTTTTTTGTTAAATTGGCAAAAAATACAGTTTTTGGTGTACCACAGTTTTTTTGTTTGTTTGTTTGTTTTGTTTTTTAAATATATTTTATTGATTTTTTACAGAGAGGAAGGGAGAGAGACAGAGAGTCAGAAACATCGATGAGAGAGAAACATCGATCAGCTGCTTCCTGCACATCTCCCACTGGGGATGTGGCCGCAACCCAGGTACATGCCCTTCACCGGAATCAAACCCTGGACCTTTCAGTCCGCAGGCTGACGCTCTATCTACTGAGCCAAACCGGTTTCGGCCACAGTTTTTAGTAATTAGATAAAAAGCTCTTTTTAGGTTTAAATGCCTAGAAGGAAAGGGGACTGTTTATTTGTCAAACTTATGATACAGAAAAAGGGAACTCATGACTGTCTTTTTAGCTGTTTGTCACTGAGATGAAAAAGGTTGAAAATCGCTGGCCTAGCATTGTACTGTGTAATATAGTGTATTGAATGCTTTCTTAATGATGAGACTCTCCAGGTGGTTGTTTTGCTCTTAAGCTGTTTGCATTAACTTTTTTTCATGTGAGATTTCCCCCCAAGGTTTTTGTTTTTCTTTTTTCCCCCAAGGTTAAATACTTTAATTTTATTTATTATTATTTTTTAAATATATTTCATTGATTTTTTACAGAGAAGAAGGGAGAGGGACAGAGAGTCAGAAACATCAATAAGAGAGAAACATTGATCAGCTGCCTCGTGCACACCCCCCACTGGGGACGTGCCCGCAACCAAGGCACATGCCCTTATTCGGAATTGAACCCAGGACCCTTCAGTCCGCAGGCCAATGCTCTATCCACTGAGCCAAATCGGTCAGGGCAATACTTTAATTTTAATTTGGCAAAATGTACAGCTTCATAGAACTTCTTTCATTTCTTAAATAACTTGAACTTTACCAATTAAGTATTTTTGAGCAGCTAAAAACCTAAGAATAAATAAATCGCAAAAGTTGTGGACAATAAGATTATAATAATAATAATAGAGTTGTTATAAAAATAATGTATATTTCAACCCATATTTTTTTTCTTATATCCCTGGTTATAAAAATCAAAGCTTTAATTAGCATGCTGCCTACACATTATGGCACTTAAAATAATGTTTCTTAGATGAATGGATGGATTTTTAAAACAATAAAGAAATTTTCCTTGTTAAGCCAAAATCCTATATAATAAAAGGCTAATATGCAAATCATCCAAACTGCAGAAAGACTGGTCGCTATGACATGCACTGACCACCAGGTGGCAGATGCAGGAGCTGCCCCCTGGTGGTCACTGTGCTCCCACAGGGGGAGAACCACTCAGCCAGAAGCCCTAAGCCAGGCTCACAGCTGGCGAGCGCAGCGGGGGTGGCGGGAGCCTTTCCTGCTTCTGCAGCAGCGCTAAGGATGTCCAACTGCCAGCTTAGGCCCACTCCAGTGTCAGTTGGACATCCCCTGAGGGCTCCCGGACTACGAGAGGACGCAATCTGGGCTGAGAAACTGCCCACCCCCCTCCCGAGTGCATGCATTTCATGCACCGGGCCTCTAGTAGAATTTATAAAGTCCTTTTATTTGAAAATTTACTAGTTTTCATGAGAAAAAAAATTATAGAATTTCTTCTCTCCCCAACTAGCTTTTAATTACATAGAAGGAAATAAAACAATTTAGATTTGAGTTTCTATTCAAAAGACACACTGTTTGGTGCAATAGTTGTGCTATTTTATTGATTATATTTCTGATTGCCAGGTGTTATATATGGCTTCAATGTGAACGCAGGCAAAGTTATCCAGGAGTCAGCTGCAAAGAAAGGAGTAAAAATTAAACTTCACAAAGTCATTTACCGTCTTGTTGAAGATTTGCAGGAAGAACTGAGCAGCAGATTGCCCTGCACTGTGGAAGAACACACAGTAGGTGAGTGTTCACTGTTACTTTTAAACATTCATATCTGAAGTGCTGTAAATGACACTTGAAAGTAAAATTTAGGGGAAATGTATTTTATTGTTGAAATGTTCACTGTTGTAATACATATCCTGTGTTCTAGAAAAAATGAATACCACACATGAGAATTCAAAGTAACTTCATATGTATTATAAACGCTTGCCCTCTGAAAAAGTTGGGCCCTGAGGATACAAGGCACGTAAGGCAATAAGAACTTGCCCTCAAGTTTAGACATGGACAGCTAATTATGAAACAAATTAGACTAGGGTGGGAGGCATAAAGATTATTAAGGTGTCATGAAGGAGCCATTGATTTTGTCCTGGAGCTGGCAGAGACATTGACCATGAGAAAAAAATGTACTTCACATTTAAATATTAAATATTAAGAAGATTCTCTAGCATACTCCTTGGGCAGATTAAAGGCTAAATTCATGATGACTGAATCATTTTATGTGTTCTTTCCTCCCCATATACAGATATTTTACACTTTTTATTTTGATGGTAGTTTTAAATACCCAGAAAAATTACAGAAGTATAGGAAGCTCTCTCCAATATACCCTTTACACAGTTCACCAATTAAACATGATCATACAGAGGTTTGTATGTTCTTGTGCTAAGAGCAATTTGTAAAACTAAGTTATGAGGGTTCCTAGCAGTAAGCAAGCACCAAATAACACTAACCCTAAAAAATTCATTCATGTATTATAATGTATTATTGGAATTTAGTTTTCAGTTAGTGAAAAAGTTAAGCTAAATCACAGAATTAGTATATAAATGACCGTGATGATATTAAAAATAAATCAGGTGATCTAGATGATATAGACTAGAAAATACATTGAGGGACTGCTGACAGCTACGTTTTCATGAAGATCTAGACAGGAATTGTACTAAATAATCATATCATCAGTTATCACCTTCTAGTGCATTTTACTCAGCCAAAAAAAAAGGAGTCCCATTTTTCTTTTACTCACTCTTTTGGTAAGCACTTGTATTTTCTTTCCCAAGAATTTTCTGGGTTTTATTTCTAATATTGGTCAGGAAAATAAAGTTGGCGGAGTCAAAGAAAACCAGGATTTCTTTGCACGAGTTTGTATTTTTATCATCTTTCTTACTTTACAAAATGTTAGAAATTAGGTATTTTTCTGAATTTTTTACTTTGTGAACTTAATGTTCCCTTCTTCCTAAAGGTGAGGCTTCTATACTAGCTACCTTTTCCATAACAGAAGGGAAGAAAAAAGTTCCTGTGGCTGGCTGCAGAGTCCAAAAAGGACAGCTAGAAAAGCAAAAAAAATTTAAGTTAATCCGGAACGGAGATATTATTTGGAAGGGTAAGCAACATCAAAATCTGTTAACATATCCAGTCACCGAAACCTGGCAATTCTCTGTAACTGCCTGAATCTTTTACTTCTTGCTGGATTCCCTCCCTCATTTGGTCTGATTCCAAGATTGTTAGACCCGTCTGATTTTTTAAACTTCTAAAAAAAAGACTACCTTTCCAGTCATGTCTCCTCCACTTTGCATATTTGCTTGCTTCTATCCTCTCTTGATTCTGCCTGCAGTCTTTTATCTTGGTTTATCTCACTCAAATCCTACCAGACTACATAGCACTTAGTGAAGTGCCTATTATTTGTTTAATGTATGAACCATGTTTTATTTCTTTTTTTAAAGGCTCATTAACCTCCCTGAAACACCACAAAGATGACGTTTCAGTCATCAAAACTGGAATGGACTGTGGTCTCAGTTTGGATGAAGAAATGATAGAATTCAAAGTGGGAGATAGAATTGTTTGTTATGAAGAAAATGAAGTTCTAGCCAAGACCTCTTGGGATCCAGGATTTTAAAACTGTATTAAAAATATAAAGATTAAATATTTTGCTTTTTAATAGAACTAGTCTTGCTTTATTGGAGGGTAGAATTCTCTATTGGTCAGCAAGTGCCCAAGCAATTCTGTCAAAATAGGAAAACTTAAGGATGCCTTCAACGAGAAATCCCGGTGTTAGTACAGTAAAAGGGAATTACTGGAATATCACTGAAGGTAACTTCAAATGAATGTTTTTACTTAAGAGTGGTACCAAAAGGCGGAAACCGGTTTGGCTCAGTGGATAGAGCATCGGCCTGCGGACTGAAAGGTCCCAGGTTCGATTCCGGTCAAGGGCATGTACCTGGGTTGCGGGCACATCCCCAGTGGGAGGTGTGCAGGAGGCAGCTGGTCGGTGTTTCTCTCTTATCGATGTTTCCAACTATCTCTCTCCCTTCCTCTCTATGAAAAATCAATAAAATATATTTAAAAAAAAAAAAGTGGTACCAAAAGAAACAGTCCTCTCTGAATTGAGCTCCAAGGATAAGATATAGTACCAATCAAATACTGCTTGAAATCACATTTCTCAGTGCCAACTGGACTAACGAGCACAGAGTTTGATTTCCAACATTGAAGGTAGTGTATTCCCTAGTTCTGCAGACAGCAAACATCCCAGCCAAACCACCTAGGAACTCAGGATGAATTTTTGAATTGTCAATTTGCAGCTCAGCCTTTTAAATTTCCCACGTATGAAATCTATCATAGCCCACAAATCGGTGTTTCTCAATTGGGGGAGGTGGTTCTCACTCACCCAGGGGTTATGTGGGAATGCCTGCATACACTTTCGGTTGTGGTAATGGGGATGGAGTGCTACTGGCATCAAATGGATTGAAGCCAGAGATGCACAAGGCAGCACCCCCCAAATTATCTGGTCATAGTACTGAGGTAAAAAAGAAAAACTGACAAACACAAACTGGTTTATTATCTAGAAAGCTGATATCTGACATCTTCTAGACATCCATTTGGACAAAGCCATGGTGGCGGGGGCTGAGGCAGTTAGGGGTGATCAGGCTGGCAGTGTAGGGCAATTAGGGGCTATCAGGCAGGCAGGCGGTGAGTGGTTAGGAGCCCGTGGTCCTGGATCGGAGAGGGTGCAGGCCAGGCTGAGGGACTCCCCCACCTGGGCCTCTAGTTAAATATAATGGTATTCTTCTGCCAAAGTATAGTTTATCAATTTGATCCATCAACTTTTGATGCTTAAAAAAATTCACTGGAATAAGATTCAACAATCAAATGTTAGTTCATGTCTTTTATTAACCCAAATACAATTACTTGTCTTCTGGTTTGTTGAAGCAATAGGTCAGACAACATTTGCCACAATAATGTCTGTCAAAGTGGCTGGCCATAAAAACTCCAGCACCACATTCATCTGAAGGGCACTCCCGACGAAGGCGACTGATTTTGCCATTCTCATCCACCTAAAAAGCACAAACCTGCTGTTAAGATAATTTTACAACATATTTTGAAGTCTATTTTAAGTGAATCAAAATACATTCTTTTAGTCACACAATGGTAGTTTTTAGTACTTACAACCCAAAGCATCCCAAACCCTCACAGATAATTACTACACTAAACAAGTTCAGAGCTCATTCAAGTCAAACCCTGCAAGTGACAGACTAAGCTAGACCTGAACCCACATCTGACTTCAAAACCAAAACGCTCCTTTGGAACCATTATCTAAAGTTCAAGTACTAAACAGGAAAAGAAATTTTATACTAGGAGTTTGAAACCTGAGCTACAAACACAATTTATTAACCTACAGGCAAAAACTTATATTTAATAAATTGGCTCACTTTGTAGTACTTCAGGACAGCCAGCTTGACCTTCTTTCTCTTATGCTTGTTCTTCTTGGGAGTGGTGTACGACTTCTTCTTCCTTTTCTTGGCACCACCACGGAGTCTCAACACAAGATGAAGCGTGGACTCCTGTTAAGGCAGCAGCATGAAGCAAGCTTTAAAAACAATCACATTCATGCTCATGCTCCACCAAGGATGGGAAGCCAGCACCAAGCATCCTCTAATGAGATGCAACAGGAAGCGCACATACCAGGGAGGAGGGAGCCTTGGGGGGAGAGCCTGACTCTGAGCTGGTGCACAGGGAGAGTAAAGCACCAGCTTACTCCAGGGACACACCCTGCAAACCCAGGCCGTGAGGACCCAGAGCAGTGCTTCCCCAACGTTCATGGAGCAGCGGCCTGGGAAAGCCGAGTCATCGAAAGCTAGTCTTAGCATTAGGGATGGATCAGCAATGTTAAGACTTATACTTAAAGGGCCCCTCTTCCTGACAGACCTTTTGAATGTTGTAGTCAGACAAAGTGCGCCCGTCTTCCAGTTGCTTGCCAGCAAAGATCAGTCTTTGCTGATCAGGAGGAATTCCTAATGAAAAACACAACAAAACACCAACAAATTAGGATACGGCAGAACCAGCCTCTGCTCAAGATTTAGGCAGTAATCATCCTGAGTCAATGGCACCAGCAGCCCTGAGTTCTCACTGCCGGCCGTGCAGGCTGGCTTCCAGGTTCGCTGATGTGACCTCACGTGAACGCCGGTGGGACTTCATATGCACACGCTACCCTCACCTTCATTTGCAGCGGAAACCGGCGTAAAGAGTTAAACTGCTCGGCCAAATGTACACGCAGTGGACTGCACTGCAGCTCGGTTCCCTGCTCAGAGACGTTCGTCTCCCCGTCATTTCACACGTTTTCACTGACCCCCGTGACCTCTGACCCCCCCACCCAGCGCCGAGGCCTCCGGAGGTTAGTTTAGAAACTAGAAAATAAGACTTGCCTTCCTTATCCTGGATCTTGGCCTTGACATTTTCTATCGTATCCGAGGGTTCAACCTAAGAGTTTTAAAATGCAAAGGTAATGGTAAGACAGGAAGAAACAAGAACGAACGCCCCATTCGAGTGAGCCGAGCGGGGCGGGGGGCGGCAGCCTCCCCAAGAGCTGGTCCCTCACCCGGCGGACAGGCCACCCCCCAGGACCGCATCCGGCGAGCACTTCTCAGCCCCGCGAGGGCGGCGGCGGCAGGGCCCCCTTCCTCCTTTGCCAGGACCCCCGCCTGGGTCGCGGGCCGGCACCACCGAGGTGAGGGCCGAGCCTTTAGACCCCTAAAGGCTGCCCGGACCCCTGCCCTGCTCGGCAAACGGCTCTCAATTCCGGGTCAGGTTTCAGAACCCAGACTCGGAAACACGCTCTAAAGCAGCGCCGGTCCGAGATCCACCTCCGGGCCTTCCTCGGACCTCGGCTCCCTCACGCCACCTGGCCCGCACCTCGAGAGTGATGGTCTTCCCCGTGAGGGTTTTCACGAAAATCTGCATCTTGGCGGCGACTCCACCTGAGGGGGAGGAGAAGGTAGAGACGGGTTACACCTGGGGACAGAAGAGGGGAAGGCCGGTAGGCCGCCGGCCAGGGAGCCGACGAGAAGCACACACTCACCACAGATGGCGGATCGGAAAGGAAGGACGCCGCGCAGGCCCACACGTTTCCCGGGGCCGCCGCTGCCGCAGGCCCCACCTCTTAGGCGACCACACCGAATGCCTGACTGCTATCACCGCGGCTGTCTAGCCACATGCCAGACTAGCTCGTGGACCTCATTTCTTCTCGTTCTAGGCCGGGCTTATTTGTCACTTTAACCTCCAGAATGCTCTAGAGATAGTAGGTTTAAACAACTTAAAACGTCTTTAAAAGGCTTGTCTCCTATAGGGGACGTGGCTAAGAGGGTCTTAAAAAGGGGGTGGGGTTGAGGGGGCCTCATGGAGGAAGAGGAGGAAACGGAAGTGTCTTCTGGGAGTTGTAGTTTCCACTGCTTTCTTTGGGCTGAGACTATTTGTCCCAGGATGCAGTTCCACCGCCCCGCGTGCCGTAGTTAACTAACTCCACGCACTGGAGTTGGGTTTTTGGAGAAAGGGAGTAAGGTGAGGAGGGAGGAAGGGCGGAGCGAAGTGATGCTTTCAGGGGAGGTGGAAACCGGTCGGAAATGACTAGGAGGAAAGGGCAAGAGGCTGGGGAGGGATAGTGGAAAGGAGGTAGCGTTCACCTCCTCACGGAGGCGGTTAGGAGCGGAGGATCAAGCCATCTCCCACCGCTGCTCCCCGGGCCTGCAAGGGAAGGAGTTCTGTGGCCAACTGCAGGCAACCTGAACAATAGGTGATATCTTCCAAAGTTCGGGTTCATCCTTTTTTTTTTCTTTCTTTTTTTGCCCTGTAGTCCCTCCGCCGGGAGCCCCCGAGTCTCTGCTGGTGTAAGGAAAGTTCTGAGCCTGGTTTGCCGTGTGAGACAGTTTAATATGTTGCAATTCTCAGGCCCGGTTTTCAAATGTTAAAATGAACCCATACGGGAAAGAAATCTGCGGGATGGCTATTTAGTTGTAGAATTTCCCAGTCTGTACGTTGGCGGATCCCGAGAGGAAGCCTGGAGTATGTGTGGGACGCGCCTGGCAGGCGGGAATCAGCCCGGAGTTGTGTCCGTACCGCCTTCCTCCGCTGCACAAACCACGGACTCCTTCCAGGGCCCCCTCCTGATGCCCTCCTGTGTTTATCCCTGTGCCTGCCCCCTGTATGCCCACCCCCAAATTCAAGCCCTCCTTAATCTGGAAGTTTTCAGTACTGGCTTCTAACCTGCCTCTAGTCCTCCTTTTCTAACCCACCTTCACTCTTGTCTCCAAATAGTATTCTAAAAAGTAGGTTAGGTCATTATTCTCTTTCACCTTCATAATGAGATCCAAATCCCTTACTCTGATATTGGGCCTCCGGCTCCCTTACATCCTAATCTGCCAAACCCATTACTTGCTTTATACCAGCGATCGCAGACTCATCAGTCAACAGAGCCAAATATCGACAGTACAACGATTGAAATTTCTTTTGAGAGCCAAATTTTTTAAACTTAAACTATATAGGTAGGTACATTGTTATTAACTTAATTAGGGTCCTCCTAAGCTGGCCTTTGCTAAAAAACGTCCTCAATCTGAGGGGTCGACCTCAGTGAACGTACCCCCACTTCTTCTAACGCCACTTCTTCAAAATAGACT